AAACCACTCTCAAAGCTATTGGCTTAAATCAACCAATTATAAAGCACACAAATCAGCAAATTGGGCAGGGCCTAACAGTGAAGGTTCATTTCTGCTCCATGTGGTCAGCTGAGGTGGCTCAACTTGGGACTGGTGGATCCTCTTCCCAGATGGGCTACCTACGTGGCTGGCAGATTGGCGTTGGCTGTTAACTGGGAGCTCAGCCAGGACGAGGGCCAGGCGCCTTTGTTTCACTTGCTCTCTGTGGACATTTGGCTTCCTCACAACATGATGGCCAGACTAGAACAGATGTCCCAAGAAAACTATTCATAAGTGTATGGCAGTTTTATGACATACTTTGGAAGACTTAGAGCATCACTTCTGCCATAATCTGTTGGTCAAGCTAGTCAAAAAGTCACCTTCCGCCCTGACCGGTTTGGCTCAGTGGATAGAGCGACGGCCTGGGGACTGAAGGTTCCCAGGTTCGATTCCAGTCAAGGGCATGTACCTTGGTTGTGGGCACATCCCCAGTAGGGGGTGTGCAGGAGGCAGCTGATCGATGGATGTTTCTCTCTCATTGATGTTTCTAACTCTCTATCCCTCTCCCTTCCTCTCTGTAAAAAAATCAATAAAATATATTTTTTTTAAAAAATAGTCACCTTCCCCTCGCCCAGTTTCAAGGGAAACAGCCATAAACACTCAATGGGAAAAGTGTCAATGTTATTTTGTAAAAAAGCATATGGAAGGGAATATATTATGATATCCATCTTTCAAAAGTATAATCTGCCACATAGAGAGTGAGTGTTTCAGTTGATGAGCACAGTATATCTCAATCTATTTTGGTTTTTAATTTTTCTCAGCAAACATTTTATAGTTTTTACTGTACAGGTCTTACAGTCATTTTACTATGTCCCTAAATATTTCAGCTTTTCTGGTGCCATATTACCATATTCTCTCTCAAACCTAAAGTACAAAGTATGTTTGCATGGTTTCCATGTCTTTCCTTGTTCCTGTTTAGGAAACTCTATCCAGGCCTTTACTTTATTTAACTATAGATAAACAGTAGATTTTGTTGTCGTTAATCCTCACCAGAGGATATTTTTCCATTGATTTTTAGAGAGTGAAAGGGAGAGGTAGAGACAGAGGGAAACATCGATGTGAGAGAGACACATCGATTGGTTGCCTCCCACATGAGCCCTGACCAGGGCAGGGGATTGAGCCTGCAACCAAGTTACGTGCCCCTGACCGGAATCGAACCCAGGACCCCTCAGTCTGCAGTCCGACGCTCTATCCACTGAGCCAAACCAGCTAGGGTGAGGGCGTTTATTTTAGATGATGTGGTTCTCCCTGGTGAGGTGTCACTTGAGCAGAGACATGAGTTATGTGAAGGAGTGGCCACATGTAGATCTGAGCAAGAACATTCTAGATGGAAGAACAATTTTTAAAAGCTCAGAAACTTACTGTCTTGGGGAGATAGAGAGTAGGTCAGAGGTGTGTAACTGGTCTGCAGTGAAGAAAATGTCAAAAGGTGAAGATGCTGAGATTAACTGGTAAACTGCATTATCTTTTGTGAACTAATCTTAGAGATGACGTACCATCACCTCTGTCATGTCATATTTGTCACACAGACCAATGGTGGTTGGATGTGGGAGAATGTGAATTCCAGGGAGAGGAACGTTGGGGGTTATCTTAGAGGATACTCATCACAGTGGTTTTTACAGTTTTTATTATTTTCATAAGATATTGGGGAAGGGAAATTCCTCTGCCATTGGTACCCAGTAGTCTTGCATACTTGTTTACATGTAAATTTTCAAACCTACACAAAAGTAGAATATGTTGAACTCCCATGTCTCTATCACTCAGGTTCAACAATTTTTACCGTGTCCTGTCTGTTTTATCTGTGTGTCCCCTATTTGCCATACCCCAGATTACTTAAATGCAAATCCACGATATCATTTCATCTGTGAGTATCCCTAAAATGTGACCGTTTTTTAACAAATGTTATTACACCTGAAAAAATTAAAAATAATGCTATAGTATCCAGTTAGTGTTCTAATTTCCCCTATAAATGCCCTTTTATAGTTGGCTACTTTCAATCAGGATCTAAACAAAGTCCACACATTTACATAACTGTATAAATAGGAAAAATTAGGAAATAAAAGGTGCTTAGGTTCACTTATAATTTAAGAAATGAGGAGGATTTTATCTTTGTTCTTTCCTTCTATCCTGAACAATGTGACCTTGAATTCAGATATTACAATGAGTGTCACCCAGTAGGAGTCAACATAATGTTCTTTCTATAGGAAAATGCAATCTAAATTCCAAATAATTTAGAGGCAAAGTTGTAGAAAATATCCCATTAGTAAGTTGAGGATGCCAGAAAATGCCACCCGTATATCTTCACACTAGTGAATTCATCTGAGTCACTCGATTTAACATAACTCAGGTTGGCCATGCAACTAAACTAAGGTAACACCTGTATTATATACATAAATATATGGCTCTCAATTATAGCTTAACAGGTGGTTCTAAAAAAATAAATGCAGTAAAAACCAAGCGAGGCAAAGATACTTCCTTAGAAATAATCTGGCATCTCGAGCTATTCTTACACATCGTTCCAGGACAGGAGGCCCAAAGCAGATTAATATTACTAGTATTCAACAATTATCTGCCAAATATAGACTGAGAAATTTAAAAAACTATTTTTCAGGAAGGGAAAGAGTAGTTAATGGTGTTTTATTGGTACTAGAGAAATACTCTTTCAGGTTTTTAATGAGCCACAAAAATATGACTCTGTTATTTTTATATGGTGGGAAATAAGTGTAAGAAATTTAATATGCCAGTTGTTTATAAAGACCTTAGGTACTCGGCAAGTTTATTTCTTCCTGTAAAATTCTTGCTGGTTAAGTAAATGCAGGTTGGGAAGAAAATGCTTTACTCTTTCCTGTGCTAAAAAATTGACAAAGCACTTACATAATCATAATGCCTTTGGGTTTGAGAGTAAAGGCTGATATTTATCTGCCTCTTGTGTTGTTACACTAGGAAACTTGGGCCTGGAGAGAGGATGGCTGGGGTCACACAGCTGCTTAGTGCTAGCTTGGGACTAAACCACACCCTCTGCCTCCTGGACAGGTGCTCTGGCCACTTCACCACAGGGCTGCCTTCCTAGCATCACAATCAACAGTGATGAGGGATCAAATACTGAAGTGGCAGTACGCATTTTACTAGAGCATTTCTTTTTAGATGCTTTGGAAATAGGCGAAGTTGAGAAAGGTCACATAAATATAATCACTGCCCCTTCACCTGTTAGTGCCAAACCCTGAAATCATAGGGAACCAAGTTTTCCACACCATCTGTTGTTACAAACATGTAAAGAAGAGTCTGTTGGAAGTGACTTGAATCTACAGTCTAGTAACTGGCATTTTAATCCGGATAAATTACTAATGATTGCCATTTGTCCTTTTATAGCAACTGGTCATTGCAATGCCCATAATCTGTTGGCCTCTACAGTGCTCCTATGAGTACAGTGCCAAGTCTGTTCTTTCACACCTACAGAACCTGCTTCACCACCAAACTGGTCTCAGCGGCTGGCTGCCAGGGCCTCTGAGGTGACCAGAGAGACAGCTCACTGCCGCCAGGAGATCAGGCACCTGGGCTGAGTAGCATCCTTTGGGCAGAAGTAGAACTTGGCCTTCTTGGCACTTCCCTAGTGGGAAGATCTAATACTTGCCAGGACAGACTCAAAACTCTCCATTTGAGGCTCCTTTCTCATGTCGTGGAATTGAACAAGGATTGATGAGTCAACAGGCTGGATGTGTATCGGTGAACTTTCCCTGTGTCTGCTTTATAAAAACCACTTGGGTAGAAAAAACACACGAATGGATTGCCTCCTTCAGAGAAGTTTAACAGGTGGGGTGGATGCTAAGCCTGGATTACCTATTTAGAGCCACTGGCTGCCTCTTGGTCACAGTGGCAGCCAACAGTAAGGCCAGCACCGGCATGTGGCTCTCTGTGCATCGGGAAACAGCTGCCCTGTGAGCCTGGCTTATCCAAAGTAATAGGTCAAGAGATGACATGAAGTCTTCATGGAACATTTACTAGGCAATGCCATTTCAGGCTATAGAAATGATCCCTGAAAGTATTGTCTTGCCAGTGCCATTTCAATACACAAGTGGTCTCTATCATTCCTTGGTCCTCTTAGGAAGGCAAATTTTGTGACTTTCTGTTAAATGTTTTCTAATTAACCTTTGCTAGCATTCTGAGCCTTTCAATATGGCTTGTCCCATTTTCAGAGATTTTTAAAAAATATATATTTTTATTGATTTCAGAGAGGGAGAGGAAGAGAGAGATAGAAACATCAACGATGAGAGAGAATCATTGACTGACCGCCTCCTGCATGCCTCACACTGAGGATCGAGCTTGCAACCTGGGCATGTGCCTTGACCAGAATCAAACCATGACCTCCTGGTTCATAGGTCGACGCTCAAGCACTGAGCCATGCCAGCTGGGCCCATGTCCAGAGATTTCTTAATCTCCATAATCTCACACAATACTTTTAAACAACTTAATGAAATCCCTTGTGGGTCTATAAGGGTCCCTAGCAAACCCTTCAGGGTAATTTGGCTGATAAAAAGTGGGAGGCCAGCGGTCAGGACAAATCAGTATAGTATGACTTAGATACTGTTTTGTTGTTGTCTTGCTAAACTCACATTCCAGGATCAAGCAGACCGCTAGCACTCAATTTTTGGATGTCCATGCATATACCATTTGCCATTTGGCTCACAGTAGCTTAAGTTTTTATGTATTGCTTTAACTTTGCTTCTACACCAAAACTGTAAACCCTAAGGGGAGAAACCATGGCTTTTTCTTTTGTGGATCCATTATAATAGCTTGTTAAAGCAGATACACAAATTTCTATAGCAAGACATCAGGTATATTTAATATTTTAAAAAGACTTTTATTATGAAAACGTTCAAATATTTTTATCATCAACAACCATCTGCACTTTGTAAATTCTGTTTCATGGATGTCTAAAATGAAGGCTGGGGAAAAATGTCAGTTAACTTTATGCTTTCTCTTTGCTAATAGAAAAAGCAAAATACAGTAGACCATGGGAAAGACACTGTTGTAAGAATTACACAGCAGCCAGAGAGAGGAGAGGCTCCTGCCCTCCACGCCAGCGTTATATAGGCAATGATGAGCTGGGTGTGGGCCCAGGTGAGGGTTCTGTAGAGTAGCCGCATGGGCCAGGATCTGATAAACAAATTGGCAAAGGTGTGAATCAGGTAGTCAGCTTTCACCATCAGAGCCCAGCAAAGAAACCAAACACCTGTCCTGGGTGGAGTCCGTGCCACCAGGCGGAGAAGGCGAATGTCTGCAACAACGGCCAGGCCCTGCCCTGTTCGAATATGAGGCGTCTGAGCCACCGAGCTGTGCTTTGGTTCCATTTTCTTGTGAACAGGGATATCCTGTGGGTTGTTTCTAGCATCCAAATGTCCGCATCAGGGAGGTATCCCTCCTCGCCAGGGCTCTCGCCAAACTCAGATCCAAAGCCCGCAGCACAGAGGAGGGAGTCATCCAGGAGCCAGTGGGAGTAGTAGGTGAGTTTGAAGAGCCCGGCAGTGGACCACATGACATAGATGCACTGGAGTTGACGGCAGTCAGCCAGACCTGCTCCTGCACTCACCACCCGCCTCATGACCACCATTAGGCACTCCAGTCCCAGAATCTGCAGACCCTTCCAGGTGAAAGTCCAGAAGGAGTACCTGGGACACACAGAGCTGAACCCTTGAACACGAGCCTGAAATCTCTGGAAAGAACACAGAGGGCCTCCTAGGAGACCAGGAAAAAAGAGCAAGTAGCTGAAATAGGGCAGTGCCCTACACAGATGCTCAGACAAAGAGCTCCTGCTCCTGATGTCTCGTGATGCTGCCTCCACCTTCCCCTCACAAATGTCCAGAGAGAGGGATGTGACCCTCTGGGTCAAGAGCATGAGGGAAGAAAGAGTGATGCAGAACCTGAAAGAGATAGCGTTTTTCATGTAAAAAACATTCCACATATATTTTATCCCATTCCAGCCCCTCACACATGACCCCACAAGCAAATAGGGGGTTCTGAACAATTAAGACCAATCTCATGGCCTGGAATACCCCCACAAAGACTCTTGAGTTAATTCAGAACCACAAGCTACTCCGGGAAGAATCAAAAGATAAATGGGGAAATTAATCAGTCAAAGAGGCAGATAAGAGAATGACAAGGAATATTGTGGGGAGGTATTGATTACAATATTTCTAAGAATGGCTTATAAAGATTAGGACCAGGGGCCTGGGAGAAATTTGCCATAGAA